GAGATGGCAGGTGCCAGTGCAGGTACAAAGGTAAGACCTACTTTACATGCGATACCTCACCGAATGTTACCCGTGTCTTCCATAAATCATTGTTAGAATCACGTTCACATTCCTTGGTTATCAGTGACTGATTTGGCTGTGATTGTAAAAATCTTTACAGCAAATCCCATAGTACAAGCCCTTACTGGCTACATAAGCAAACAATAGTTATCTTAAGATAATAGTACAGTAGTCCCTTGACTAACTTTTCATCCGTTCCATGAAAACTACTGACAATCGAAATAACTGTGCATTGAATTCACTTATAAGTTGAAAAATAAGTCTGCAAGAGAGACGTTTCCACTGCCAAAACAGAAAACGTCATGTAAACAAAGCCAGTCGAGGTCTCAAAGCTCATAAATGGGCGTCGCTGATAGGCTGAGGCACGCTCTGCCCACTTACGAGCGCTCCGATTAGCTGAAATTGGCGCCCCGCGTGCATAACGTAAACGTTACCGTTAATCAAAATGTTAACATCAGTGGAAACCACGGGGGTCCTATGGGAGAGAAAACGTCAATCAATAAAAAACGTTAACCGAGGGACTACTGTATTAGTTCAGGGACACCAAAACAAAGCCCCCGACAGAAATCTAGACGCCCCCCCACCACCGCCCTATCATAGACTGGCTGGAAGAGCCAAGGCCCACATATAGACTCTCCGGAGGCTTACCGTTTGCTGGGCAAGGAAGGTGCTGGAACCAGATCAGCAATTCGGAAACTATGTAACAGAAGAAACCTTCTCTCCCCAGACATCACACTGCTGAAGTTGTCCCAAACCTGGAAAGCCCCGAGAATCCGGCCCAAGATCAATACCGCCCAAAACTCTTACAGTTTAATTTCATGCATGGCACATACATGACAAAAGAAAGGGCAAAATTCACGGCAAACCCCTCCCGACTATCCAGCATGTACCCCAGGCACAATACAAAACCACTTACGCGCGGTTTTGGTCATGCCCGGGCATCCCAAATTTCTACCAGAAGATGACATTTGACAAATGAGGCAACAACCTCTCTCCATCGATTGAAACTACCCTGTGGGGGGGGGGGGGGGGCTTGAAAGCGAGTAACCCTTTCAAAACACCAGCACGCCCTACTCCAAGCGTTCACCATCGTAGCCCAGGAAAACCATCCTTGGCAAACTGGAAAGACCATAACCCCGCCCCCCATGGGGGCAATGGCGTTACATCCTGCTCGCTCACGCGGGCAATGAACACCTTGTCCCACAAGGCAATGAAAGGGTATTTTAGGTCAGGGCATCCCCCCTCCTACCTCCGAAGTTTAAAATTAGAGTAAAGTGTCCCCATGCCCCCCTCGTTGACCGGGACGCGTTGGGCACATGGGGCCTGGCGAATATTCGTGAGCGGTTGTTGTTTTTGTCGCCCCCAACTTTCTGCAGCGGGCCTTTGTTCTTGCGTACAGCAAGACTCTCGTGAAACATATTTTTAAATGAGAGGAAATGTGGAGAGGCCCCGGGAGGGTGGGAGACGGGAACGGGCAAGGGAGAGGGGGAACCCCCCACCGCCACCAGTTGAGATAAGAAGGTCCCAGAATAGAGGAGAGGTTGTCATCCCAAAACGCAAAGCCACGTGGATGTTAGTATGATTTATCGGGCGCATTCCTTCCTCATCCACCTTCACCGATACACCTGATCTCCCCCCTAGAATGCTGATTACTTCCTCCCCGCCCCCTCTTGCCCCCACCCCCCCTCCATATATACAATCTCCCACTCTCCCCCGTTGGAAGACCCCCTCAGGGTGGTCACCGAACATTCCTTCCACACACCTCTACATGTTCAAGCGCCAAAAGTCCCCACACCCACCCAAACCCACCCATCCATTCACCCAAACCCACCCAAATCCACCCATCCAAACCCACCCACCCACGTTTTCTATTGTGTTGTGCACATCTATAACCTCTGCTTTCCCGCGAGAGAGACTTCTGCTACAACTCGTTAAATTAATCCACTACCAAATGAGGGCCTGCCCCAGGCCCTGTCAGTCATGGTGATTGTTTGACCACATCTCGCCACACTTGTGAATGGAGGTAAAAAAAAAATAAATGCGGGAACCAGGATCGGTAGAGTTATGATCACTCACCACTGACGTTAACTATCGCTGGGAATCAAACTCAGGTAAGCGGTTTAATTTATGCGGTAAAACAAACCACTGCGTCACTAGTCCCCACAATGAGCTCCTACCCAAGTCAAGAGCGCTGTGAAGGTGAACTCCACCACCATAATTCTCAACAACACATCTGTAAATTAGCGCTCAGCAGGAAGGAAGCATCCAACGCACATCCGATTAACGCGGCTGGCTACGTACGGTGCGAAAGAAGTCCAACGCACGTATGTCCAGGGCACCTACCCATGACCACACACTCGCAACTCGCGTCTCTCGAGCTCTAGGATCGGACTTTGAGTCCGATTCGTGAAATATGTTTTGCGTATTAAATAAGTGTTTATTTTAGATGTTATTATTTAGTGATGTAGCGTGGTTGGTACGGCAGCTGGTGAACGGAATGTCTGATCTTAACGTATCTAGATTTATATAGCGCCGCTTATTATAGCAATCATTTAACACGCAGGAGGCTTTCGCGACCAATATCCATAATCTTTTTTTCTGGGTTAAATCGCGTAAATATATAAATGTGTCGTTAAAACCCGCCACCACCCGACACAGCCAACTAGTAAGGGTTGTCACATAAACAGAACGTGGCCAATTCGTCACTAGTACAGCACACCGGTGTGTTGGAGAGCCAAGCCACAACATTTACAATCGGAGTACGACGTTTCGCCAGTAATTACAACCAGCTTCATCAGGCGACAGCCAGAAACTAGCTACTACTCACGAAGACTAATTACGAACCCCCGACTTACAAACACCCCGCACTTACATGAAATATATTTTTGAAAATAGCTTTGACTTAAAAAAAACGCGAACTCGCAATTGCAAACTGAACCGCGGAACGATGCTGTTCAGAGTTGCGATAGACCGCGAGGTGCAACGAGTTGGCCCCACGCTGGCATTCAGCGTTTGCGTTATGTGTGTGTGTGCGCGTGGCCGTGTGTGTGTGCATGTGGACGTGTGTGTGTGTGCGTGTGGACGTGTGTGTGTGCGCGTGTGTGCGCGTGTGTGTGAAAGTGAGTGGGGAGCGGTAGTGTAGCGGTTAGCGCGCTTCGCTATGAACCCGGCGACCCGAGTTCGATTCCCGCTCACGGCCAACACCACCAGTGACGATTATCTGAGCCGGTCCTGGGCCTCCCCTAGGTCGACTCAGCCTCAAATGAGTACCCGGTGCGATGTGTAAACATCGCCACTTGGGAGACAAAGGCGGTCGAGCGTGGTGCTGGCCACCCACCCCCTCGTGTACCGTTCCGGCCTTCGTAGGTGCTCGCTAACAGCACTTGCCCCTACAGTCTGTTACAGGCTATACGGGGGAACTTTGTTTGGAGTGGTGGTGTAGCGGTTAGCGCTACGCTGCGCTGGGGGCCATCCATTGAGTAAGTTCGCATGGAGGGGGGAGGGGGGGTTAACCTAAATGCGTACGCTTGCGTATGGAGGGGTCTACTGACAATGTACGTACGCATAGGAAACGGAGAAAATCCACACGACCACGGAAACAGAGGACATGCAAACTCCAAATATACAGCAGGCGTCAGGGTCGGGATTGAACCCACGACCTCCAGCATATTTAACGAGATCGGTGGCCACTAGGGGGAGGCAGTCTTTATGAAAATACCTGATCAGCTACACTCCCCTTGAAGGCCGGGTGGTGTGGCGTGCCCACTCATGTCTTTACGATAACAATCAGAGGTCAACATGTAAACGTAAAAAGTTCCAGCATGAGACCACTTTGTCACACAAGAGCCCTCACACCGTTAACTGTCAGTTTCCCCTCTGCGGAAATCATCGTAGCATCGGAGTGGGAACAGTTCTATGTATGTTGAACTTCTTTTCACCGTACGTAGCCAACCGCGCTAATCAGAGGTGCGCTTGAACGACACCAACACAGTGTTATCGGTGTACACCGGCTCTGTTCGACCACTTTACGACTGCTCAACACATAGCTCAAATATATCACTAGGTAACACACATACAGATCCATGCGTCACTCACTGGTACACACACACACAGCTCTATGTATCACTCACTGGTACACACACAAAGCTCCATGTATCACTCACTGGTACACACACACAGCTCCATGTGTCACTCACTGGTACACACACACACAGCTCCATGTGTCACTCACTGGTACACACACACACAGCTCCATGTGTCACTCACTGGTACACACACAAAGCTCCATGTGTCACTCACTGGTACACACACACACAGCTCCATGTGTCACTCACTGGTACACACAAACACAGCTCCATGTGTCACTCACTGGTACACACACACACAGCTCCATGTGTCACTCACTGGTACACACACACACAGCTCCATGTGTCACTCACTGGTACACACACACAGCTCCATGTGTCACTCACTGGTACACACACACACAGCTCCATGTGTCACTCACTGGTACACACACACACAGCTCCATGTGTCACTCACTGTTACACACACAGCTCCATGTGTCACTCACTGTTATACACACACAGCTCCATGTGTCACTCACTGGTACACACACACAGCTCCATGCGTCACTCACTGGTACACACACACACAGCTCCATGTGTCACTCACTGGTACACACACACAGCTCCATGTGTCACTCACTGTTACACACACACAGCTCCATGTGTCACTCACTGGTACACACACACAGCTCCATGCGTCACTCACTGGTACACACACACACAGCTCCATGTGTCACTCACTGGTACACACACACACAGCTCCATGTGTCACTCACTGGTACACACACACAGCTCCATGTGTCACTCACTGGTACACACACAGCTCCATGTGTCACTCACTGGTACACACACACAGCTCCATGTGTCACTCACTGGTAAATGTCCATGACCAGCTCAGTGCCCAAGACGAAGACCTCCTCCAGGACCTTGTCCAGCTGCAGGTGGATTGTCCGAGTCGTGGCCATGTTGTCCTCCGCGCGCCTCCCTTCCTACTGCACCTGCGAAACACCACGGGGCACCTCGAGGTAACAAGAGCAGCTGCTTGATAAAGCTCCTTAAATAGCCAGGCGTCTTGTGGGGGCAGTGAGTCACGACTGTTTGTCGGCGCGAGAGATAAGGAAGGGCGCCCTGGTGCTGATTGGGTCATGGCGATGTAATTGTACCTGGGAGGGGTGGGAGGGGTGGTGGGTGGAAGAGTGGGGGAGGGGGTAGGGATGGAGGGGAGGGGGTAGGGATGGAGGGGAGGGGAGGGGGCAGGGATGGAGGGGAGGGGTAGGAATGGAGGGGAGGGGGTAGAGGTCGCAACCGGGTACCCGATACCCGTACCCTACCCGGTACCCGGCTACCCGTACCCGGCCGGGTACGGGTACCCGTTTACGACCCTGGTGCGGCCGGGTACGGGTAGGCCGTGAGTCACTGGTGAGTAACTGTTTGTCACTCATTTCCAAACGTCTTGTCTCTTCTCACAATTCAAGTTCCTAGAATCAACCCACCCGCGCCTGCAACATTGCTTCATCCCATACGGGTACGGCCGGGTACCTGGTACCCGTTTGCGACCCTGGTGCGGCCAGGTACGGGTAAGGAATCAAACCCCGTTTGCGACCTCTGGGAGGGGGTAGGGATGGAGGGGAGGGGGGTAGGGATGGAGGGGAGGGGAGGGGGTAGGGATGGAGGGAGGGTAGGGATGAGGGGAGGGTAGGGATGGAGGGGGAGGGTAGGGATGGAGGGGAGGGGTAGGGATGGAGGGAGGGGTAGGGATGGAGGGGAGGGGGAGGGATGGAGGGGAGGGGTAGGGATGGGGGGAGGGGTAGGGATGGAGGGGAGGGGAGGGATGGAGGGGAGGGGGGAGGGATGGAGGGGAGGGGGGAGGGATGGAGGGGAGGGGTAGGATGAGGGGAGGGGTAGGATGGAGGGGAGGGGTGAGGGATGGAGGGGAGGGGTAGGGATGGAGGGGAGGGGGTAGGGATGGAGGGGAGGGGTAGGGATGGAGGGAGGGGGTAGGGATGGAGGGGAGGGGTAGGGATGGAGGGGAGGGGGTAGGGATGGAGGGGAGGGGGTAGGGAGGGAGGGGTAGGGATGGAGGGGATGGAGGGGAGGGATGGAGGGGAGGGGGTAGGGATGGAGGGGAGGGGTAGGGATGGAGGGGAGGGGTAGGGATGGAGGGGAGGGGTAGGGATGGAGGGGAGGGGGTAGGGATGGAGGGGAGGGGGTAGGGATGGAGGGGAGGGGGTAGGGATGGAGGGGAGGGGGTAGGGATGGAGGGGAGGGGGGAGGGATGGAGGGGAGGGGGAGGGATGGAGGGGAGGGGTAGGGATGGAGGGGAGGGGGAGGGATGGAGGGGAGGGGGAGGGATGGAGGGGAGGGGGAGGGATGGAGGGGAGGGGGGAGGGATGGAGGGGAGGGGTAGGGATGGAGGGAGGGGTAGGGATGGAGGGGAGGGGTAGGGATGGAGGGGAGGGGGGAGGGATGGAGGGGAGGGGGGAGGGATGGAGGGGAGGGGGGAGGGATGGAGGGGAGGGGGGAGGGATGGAGGGGAGGGGGGAGGGATGCAGAGCTTCCTCACCCACGACTGTTTGTAAACATCTCGATCCCCTCACAACAACAACACATCGCCACCGCCTTTGTTCCACTCACCTCGCACGGGTACAATTCGTTACATTATGTCCGAGTCGTCGGGTGAGGCACGGCATGGGCCAGATGCCGTTAGCAGCCAGACGGTGACAGGATTCGAACCCGCCGCATCCTCCTCAGCTTATCACCATCACCACACGCCTTTAAACACGACCACAAAATATCCGCCCGTGTAGCCTGTAACAGCCTGTAACAGACTGCTGCGGCAAGGACTGTAATGTGAGCGAGCAGCAGCACCTATGAAGGCCGGAACGGTACACGACGGGGTGGGCGGCCAGCACCACGCCCGGCCGCCTTTGTCTCCCCTAGTGACGATGTTTACTACACACCGCTACACCACAGGTACTTATTGGAGGCTGAGTCTCCCTAGGGCAGGCATAGGACCAGTTCGGATAATCGTCACTGGGTGTTGGTGGCCGTGAGCGGGAATCGAACTCGGGTGGCCCGGTTTGTAGCGCAGTGCGCTCTAACCGCTGCACCACCGCTCTCCACACAACCCGCAATGCCAACAACCGTCATTCACGAAGTGACAGTAACGTTACCACGGCGCCCGTGCCAGGCTAGGTGCACTGAGGCCACGTGAAGTGTCGAAGGCCACCTGACAGTAGGTCACGGGACAGACCCAGGTGGCATGGGTTGAATGAGGTGACTGGTAAATGCACTAACTGTGTCCCCTACTGTGCCAACTTTGCTACATTTTAGCCGCTCGTTGTTGTGAGCGTCGCTCCTCTGCCTTCCGTTGTTGTTGGAGGGGCGACTGCCTCCGACTGCCCAGCAGCAGCGTCCTTCACGAGCCTCCTCCATAGAGGCCGATCTTGACACCGCTGGTACCAGCCATTGGCAAGTCCACTCAGCTCCACGTCCTCCCGTACCGCATCAGTCCATCTCTTCTCCAGACCGTGTCGTGCCTGTTTAGCCCAGTCTATGCGGCCAAACAGAAGCTGATTGGGCATGCGGTGGCTGGCCATGCGGGCTACATGACTCATCCAACGTACCCTTGCCTGTCGGAAGAGCTCACTGATGGGAATGTCTCCAAATCTTTCAAGGATTTGTGAGCTTCTCACACAATCCAGCCTGATTAAACCCAGAATGGATCGTAGGTATGCCAGCCTGAATGTTTCTAACCGGCACAGATGTTCCATTAGAGGGGTCCACGTTTAACAATCATAGTGAAGGGAGGGCATGGCTGTGGCCGAGAAGACCTGATGCTTCGTGCGGAGCGACAAGCCAGGTAGCTTCCACACAGCGTTACGCGGCCGATGAAAAGATAATGCCGCCCGACTGATTCAAAGTGAGACCTCTGCTGTCAAACCGGAGCTGTTCATTAAGCACACTGCCCAGGCATGGGAAACGCTCCCCTGAAACTCACCACCAAGCGCATTCTCTTCCACAATCGATCGATCAATCTTTATTCGTCGTGCCAACATCTCGCCCTCAATACAGGGTGCTTAAAAATGAACACTTATATGGGACTATCGTTTTTAATGGAAAAATAACAGATAATACACTGTGACATGATAACAAATGTAATGTTAATAACTTCAAAAAGTCAAAGAGTCTCCACTTGTTCGCCATCATTGTCCACATGTGCCTGCAATCTTCTCCATGTGGTTTCCTGAGCCCGGAGGCACATGTCTCGTGGTATCGTTGCAAATTCTCAGAAGTGGTCAGAATTTTTTTAAGCTCCCTGTAAAGTGAGGGCATCGGTGCCCATTATAACGGGACGGGGGCGGTGAACAGGGGGCACGCAGCAACAAGGAATTGAAAATAGAAAACCAATCACGACCTCAGCGGGCTCACACCGACTGAACAGATACATTTGCAACGAATAGCGTAAATAATGTATAAAAATATAAGAATAGCTTTTACCCTTTCTGGCAATAAAACAGGAGGCGTTAAGCTGTTCAAACGCCATATAGAAACCTTCTGCAAGGAATATATGGGACAATGCATATAATGTCAGAGCATATTTCCATGTTCACCACTAGTACGTGTGGTTAATGCGAATTTGATTCCTTGCAAAAATGTTTCTATTTGGCGTTTGAACATCTTAACACCTATATTCTTGGTTCTTTCGGTAAAGTCACGTAGGTATGAAATAAAGTGAAAAATAAAAAATATATCACGACGTTTCGATTGCAACACAAGCAATCATCATCCGCTGGGAAATTATGTTCTTGCTGTGGTTTTCCCACCTGATGATTGCTTGTGTTGCAATCGAAACGTCGTGATTTATTTGTATTTTATACCTACGTGACGTTACCGAACGAACCAGAGAGTATTAATGGTAAGTAGTGCAATAAAAAAAAGTTGAGAGTTATTTAAAATGTTTCGCAAGTCATAACAACCAACGTGTACCGCTTATCGCGCTGCACAAATACTACAACCGCCACCATTGACCAACAACCCTCGCTCTCCTTGGTGCTTTCGGTAAAGTCACGTAGAAAGAAAATCAATTACCTAATAGCATACGACGTTTCGATTGCAACACAAGCAATCATCATTAGGTACAAATAAAAGAGAAAACAAACTGAGTAAACTTAGAAATATAATGCAATACAACACAGAGAGTCGGCTAACATAACAGTCAACGCCCTACCTGGTTGATTACGTTCTTGCAAAGATTGTAAATTTTAGAGACAAAACACAGACACGGAGAGACACACAGAGAGAGACACACACATATACACGGAGAAACAACGCCTCTGTGTCTCGGCCTTAAATAGAGAGAGAGGGGGCAGAGAGATTAGCATGTCAATGAGGGATTTGGAGCTTTCTTGACTGCAGAAAATACGACAACACGAGGACACACACAGACAGAGAAAACACACCTAATCAAACAAACTTGGCAAAATTGAATGCAGTTTTTTTTCAAGTTAACGTTGTGGCATATTTATTAAATGATTGATATTTAGGGATCCACACCTTCCCTTCCGTGGGAGGTGTCAAGTTCTGCGTGCAAATAACAGATGTATTTTTTTACGGTATTTTAAATAAACTTTTACTTGGACAAGTTCCTATTTCATCATGGGACCTCTTTTGCCAGTACCAAAATATACTAATAGGGGTTTTCCCCTTTTTTCTGGCAACAAAACGGACACCTTTTGCAAGGAATCATGTTTACATTAACCACAATACTTGCAGTCAAATGCAAACAAAAAACAATACTCTGGTAATTTTTTTAAACTGATTGGTCCACACCAGAGACAGCTTTCTTTGGAGCCTCTTTTACCAGGTAAGGCCCACTGAGCTATGTAGCTCTTATTCTTTGGGTCTTTCGGTAAAGTCACGTAGATCATCCTCCTGATGATGATTGCTTGTGTTGTGATAGAAACGTCGTAGTTTTTTGTTATTTTCTTTGAACCATCTACATACCTTTACCGAAAGACCCAAAGAATATTAATTCCTGCACTCACGAACGCTTGGAGTCAAGATCTATGTAGCTCTATTTCAGACGCGACTTGGCCACCAATGATAGCTCAACGAAGTGGCTTATCGTGTGTACGT